TCAAAAGTTAATAATACATAATATTCTACAAGGTGAAGTAAGTAAATAAATGAGAGAAAATTTTGTTTAGGGGGCATAGTAACATTTAGGTAAAAACATTATGGGTTAAAAATGAAAATTTTGAATTTCAAGGAGTATGTATCACTACAAGAAAATACACTTTTTGTATCAGAAGGTCTTTGTTATAAATTTGTTGTAAAAAGACATTTTTGTATCAAATTTGCAACGAAAACCTAACCGTTACTTAAATTGGCGTTGCAAAAAAATATGTAACAGAAATTTCTTGTTACAAATAATTATTTCCTATAGAAATTTTTTTCGTAGCAAAAAATAAAAAAAATAAAAAACCTCATTTTTTTTATATCAACCTTTTTTTTCGTAGCAAAACTTTCAACTCTTTTTTGCAATAATACTTCTTTCTTATGCAAAAATTGTTCTTTCTTTTACCACAAAAAAAATATATATATGGCAAAAAATATTATATAACATTGCTATCTACTTTTTTAACAATACAATATAATCTAATTATATGTAAGAAATAAAAACATATTTTAAAATTTTATAAAATTGGATAATTGTTAAAACCTACAAACTATATTAAAATAAGAGTAATACTACACGTACAAAGAAATCTTATAAAGACTTATGTATAAACTGATATGGCAAAAAATGAATAGAAAAGTGAATATGATGAGTTTGACTTTTTTTTTTTTTTTTTTTTTTGGTTGTAATTAAGCTTTTATAAACCAAAAAAAGAAGGGTGCCTCAAGAGGCTACAAACAGCCTGCTATTGGACAGGCTTAGAAACAAGCAGAGAAACAAACTACTCCCTAAAAGGAGCGCAACAACAAAAAGTCCTACAACTCGACATACCTAGAGTCCGAGGCTAAGATAAAAACAATTCAAACAGCCTACACAAGGCCTACAAGCACCCAACAATCAAACCCAAGAAGGGACAAAGAGTAGTCAAGGCTAGCTCAGTCCAAAGCATCAAAGGAAAATAGAGTTAGGAAGACTCCACTCAAAAGCAATGTTCCTACTATCAACCGAATCTTCAACTTTCTTCAGATCCATAGCAAGGTACCGAACAATAAAAATCACATAATCTTGGATAGAGATATGAAATTACCTTTGAATCTTCTTTCGTATCTTTCCCTCCTTAACATGTGGATCATGGCACCAAGGGCTAACTTACAAAGAATAAAAAAAAGCTTGTTACTGTTAAATCTATGAGTTTGAATTTTTGTATTCACTCTTCCATTCATTTTCTACCACATCAGTTTGTATAGAAATCTTTTTAAGATTTCTTTGTACGTCTAGCATTATTGTTAAAACAAAATAATAACAACAATCCTTATTCTAAATATTATTTTTATTTATCACTAAAATAATTATTTCACAATACAATTATGTATACATAAACAACCTACTTTATTCATCTCTCAATCCTAATAGTGTTTAAATGCAAACTTCCATTATAACATACAAATGAGGTCACTTGAAAAACTTAGGCATACACAATGAGAACATGTCCATGAAATCTTAAGGTTCAATAATAGACAAAATCTAGGAAAAGAGATTAAGCACTTCTTTCTCCTCGTCCTCCTTAAAGATAGTTGGGCAATTCACACCACTTTTTAAAACACTAGAGCCGTTCCACACCTACCCGAAGTCAAACTCAAACAAAGCTAATCCCACAAAGAAACCTTTATTAGAACAAATCATCTTATGCAAGATACATCATCTTCTCTAATCCCTTTGAATGCTTGAGGTGCCTGTAAATTAGATGAAGATGAAGTAAGCACATGTTGATAGGTTTCATGAGTGGAAGGAGAAACCTAAAAAAGCAATAATGTTACAAGGAAATTAAGGTCAAGTCACATGAGGAATATAAACATTCAATTAGTGGAAAACCTACGATTAGGGCAAATGTGTATGAGTGCTGCTCCATATAATAGTCTTCATTCTTGGAAATGAATCCTACCCAAGATTGGTTAGGTTTCACATGAAATCATTAACAATGGGTTGAAGAAGGAAATTCCCTTTAATTGCCTAAAGCATTTAAAATGTTGGCACTTAGGTTAATTTAACTTGTAAATACCATAAGCCAAGTGTTGTGCAGGAAATCCAGAGAGGATAATTCCCCATTTGGAAAAAAAATATTTAGATTGACTCGATTTGGAAGGAAAACATTCAAATTGACTTAGATTCCAACTAAGGTAGCCAAAGATCATGCAGCTTCCTAATTCTATGAATTTGAATCTCACCTTAATTCTATCATGTAAATGGCTGCTATATAAACCCCTATCAAATCATTATGGAGAAGAAAAAATTTAGAGAGATTAGGCTTATTTTTATACTCAAAACATTAATAAGATAACAGTGGATGTAGGATTCAGAGTAAACTTGCCGAACCAATTTAAAAATCCTTTTTTACATTATTGTTCTTATTCATATCTTGTTGATTTTAATTAATCACGAGTCCATTGGTTTCGATTTTGTCAAGGTCAATTGGATCACTCTAGTTGTGCGAAATTTCATAACAATAATTTGGCACAAGAAGGAGGGCCCTCCCCTTGAACACTCCGCAAAGCTCCCTCTGTTCTTCAGCAGATTCTTTTCTATCTTCTGAATCGTAAGAGATCAATCATGGTTCGTATCACCAGATCCAACTCCAGAAACATAGCCGTTACCAGATGTGAAAAAAATGAGCACGGTCAAGTTTGAATCTGGTGAAGCAGTAAACATACGAATTATAGCCCTTTGGGTTAGATTTCCAATGGTCCAAGAATCATCCAAATCAGAATCTACAGCTCAAGTTATCACCAAAACACTAAAGCATGTTCCAAGCTCATCAATGAGAGTGGGACCTCGTCACCATATCTTGATAGCTCGTCAACGAGAGCATGACCTCGTCACCATAACTCGTTAGCTCATCAATGAGAGCACGACCTTGTTGCCATAACTAGTTAGCTGGTCAACAAGAGCACGACCTTGTTGCCATAACTCGTTAGCTCGTCAGCGAGAGCACAACCTCGTCGCCATAACTCGTTAGCTCGTCAACTACAGCGTAACCTCATCAGCATAACTCGTTAGCTTGTCAACAAGAGTGCGGCCTTGTCGCCCATAACTCATAAACATGAGTGCACATCGTCAGATCGTCATTTATGAAGCTCAAAGGTCGTCATTTCTGAAACTCAAAGGATATCGTTTTTGGAGCTCATCGTTTCCAGAGTTCGTCGTTTTTGAAGCTCGACGTTTCTTAAGCACATAGTTTTTGAAGCTCGAATCGACCTCAAAAACTGGAAAGCTATTATTGTTCAAGAAATCCTGGAGAGGATAATTCTCTATTAGTAACGAAGATATTTAGATTGGCTCATTTTGGAAAGAAGATATTTAGATTTACTCTGATTCCAACTAAGATAGCCGTACGAATTTGAATGTTACCTCAATTCTATTATGTAAATATGTGTTATATAAACCCCCCTCAAATCATTATAGAGGAGGGGAAAAATTATGAAAAATTTCGTAACAAGTCTAACCCTCTTTCTCTCTCACATGCACTCTATCTCTTTTTGGTTTTTTTTTTTTTCTTAAACCATACAAAGCGTCATATAATTGTTTAATATAAAAAGCACTTACAATTAGAAACCGAAACACAAGCCTTTAGTTTAAAACAAATCATCTTTTTGCAAAATAAAGTACAAAAATATCTCTCGTTAAAACTTTAAATAAAAGTCAATCACTTCATTCAAATATTAAATGCGTAAATACAAATCTTATCTATCTTATTCAAAAATCAAAATAATAGTGAAGAAAAAAAGAAAACCAATGGTGTCACAATGGTGGTGACCACTTTTCGACTGCCACGTGAAATGGTTGCGGTTGATTAGAGATGTCGTCATCGATTGGACTGCAATTGACCAAATCTAGTCACCACTTGGCCCTCAAGTGACGACTAAATCACCCAATTGCCCCTTGGCTTGGCCTGCGACTAGCCAGATTTGGGATTTGGCTACCGCTTGGCCTACAGCTAGCTACATTTAGTTGGCGAGGGGTGAAGAAAAATAAAGAAGGGAGAGAAGAGAAGAAGAAAGAAAGAAGGAGAGAGAACAGGAAGAAGTAAACGAGGGGTAAGAGAAAAAAAAAAAAGGAGAAGAAGGAAAGAAATGATGGAGAGAAAAATGCAAATGGGGGAGAAATGAAAAAAAAATAAAAAATTAAGCTTTCTTTTTAAATTTTAAAAAGCCTAAAAATACCTTTTTAAAAACTTGGAAATATCAATCTCACTTTCATATTAGTTAACTTTAACAGAAGAATCTGAAGAACTAATAGGATCCAGGCTAAGGTTACATTTTTTAATTAAACTGAGTGGTGATATCATGATGTCGTGAAAATGATGAGGTTTGCCAATAAAACCCCTTTTAATTAGACACAGACTTAAATTTATAGTAATACTATATTCAGAGACCTTTCTCATTAACTTTTTCTTACAAATGCGACGTGTTAACTCGTAATTGGTCAGCTTGCAATGGATCCCAACTGCCCAATAATGAGTTCTGCCTGTCTAATTATAAGTTGACTAATTACGAGCTACCATATCAATGTTAGTGAAAGAAATTTGTAGGAAGTGTTTGCCAACTTATCTTTATCCCTTAAATTTATGTCTAAATTAAACTCAAATATACCTCATTAAGCTGATTAGGGTTGGGCTTGACTGTCGTGTCAATTTTAGGATCTTAATCTTTCGGGCCCCGTATCTGAAAAAAAAATTGATTGAGCTGGGCCCGTATTTAGACCCTTTGCTGCAGCGGGAGTAAAGAACTAACAGTGACTCTGGCTTTCAATTTCCCATCAAGTTCCAATACAATTTTTCTTATGCCAATTAAAAAATTAGAGAACTCCACGTAATTGAAGCACAAAATTTTCATGATACATAACAATCCATTTCACAACTAATTAATTTATTTAAAGGAAAAATAAAATAAAAGAGAGTAAAATAACTCATTCAAATTCTTCCCTTGAACAATGCTGCTATCATGAAAACAATATGCACACCTTCTACATCATGTTATGTGTGTTGTAGTTTTGTCACATTTCACACAACAATACAATGACTCATCAAATGTATATTTCCCCCTCCACCCTTATTTTGAAAAAATAATAATAATAATAATTGTAAACAAATGAAGAATATTCCCAGAGCTACACAACAATTCCACCTTATGCTTGTTAAATACAATTCAAAGAACAAAAAATCACACAATATTTAAGCACCCCACACGGTCACGCCACTCCAAAAACACAAGCGTAGCTCCATAATGTGCCAATGCACCAAACACCACAAGAACATGAAAAATCTGATGGCTATGTCCTGCAAGATCAAACCATCCAGGCTTCCATCTCTCAGGAATCCTCATGACATAGAACGCGGTTCCTGTAAGATAAAACAAGGCCATGGCGGACTCATATGCGAGAGTTATGTCCCGTTTGGGGTTGTCCCAATTCACAATCACAGCATGGACTGCAGGGACAATGCCAAAGAACCCCATTGAAGAGAACAGCAAGGCGCGAAATGCTCGAAATTTGGAGGTTGAAAGCGCCGGTGCTAGAAGTGTTACAATGGTGAACATTCCCATGGCTGTGATGCCCCCAAGGTAGATGAAATGCCATTGAGGTTCACACTGGAATATGTAGTAGATTGGGGGGAAGAATGAGGTAATGATCATGACAGTGATTCCAGTGTAGTCAATTCGCAGCAATGAGAGACTTAATTGATGAGAGTGACAAGAGAAGAGGTGGCAAATGCTGCTTGAAAGCAAGCAGAACATAGAGCCGCCTAAGAATACAAAGAATGGCCACCGTGTTACGGGCATCACCAGTGGGTTTATGTCCATTTCCGGTTGCGTTATCTGCTTCAAATCAATAAGATTTGTTGCTCCCTGGAAAGAAATCTTATGGTGTTAGCCCTGCTTTGATATGAACCAATCAATTTTATGTACTTTGAATTGTGAAATCGCCATGTTTGAAGTGACTTACCGCAAAGAAATCTTCAGAGTTATGTGAAACATTTGAAGCTCCACTAATAGGAAAAGACCTACAACAAACATGTACATAAATAAACAAAAAAAAAAAAAAGCTTGATTTGGAAATTAAGGTAAATTCTACTATAAATTAAAAGAGGTCATTGGACATCACTCGAAAATTAGATTAAATTTGGATAAGACTAGATGAACTAAACTATCTAGAGTAAAATTTTCTTTCCTTTTCACTACTTGTAACGATTTATTCAAGAGTCCTCAATTACTTTTCTTGGTAAAAATTAGTATAATATTGGTTTCATAAAACAGGACAATGAATTATAAGTAATTGTTTTTCTTTCAAGCTTAAAATGATTATTTAATTTAGAAGCAAAGAAAATCTAGAAAAATAAAATCAGTCCAAATTATATCAAAAAAATTACTAATTAAAGAATATAAGAAGAATTTTATTCAGACCTTGTCAGTAAGCTAATGAGATCCGATATTTGAGGTATTTCCATCAAATTCGCCATAGCCAATCCCAGAAAAAGAATAAAACCAATTAAATGCCTGAAAAATTACGAAATCAAGATTAAAATTAAGAACAATTAGAAAGACAAAATAACCATTGAAAGAAAATTGATTAAGAAGATGGAAAGAAACTGGAAATTAACTTACGTCCAAACATTAAGTGTTTCATTATGCCAACGAAATATGCTAAAGAAAGCTTCCTTGAGAGGCCAATTAGCTCTGTAATAATTAAGTATGAACTCGTTATCTTTCAAGTAGTCTGGTAATTCCCAGAACGACACCAGTGCATACCGTTTGGATTTGTTACTGCAGCTCTCATGGTGATGATGATGATGAATAACATCCTTCTTATCAGGAGAGGGATGAAGGGTATCTTGATCCATATTGTTCTTGGTCTTTCTCTTGATGAAAATAGCTTCGTCTCTGAAAGACATAGTGAGCGAGAGAGAGATGAAATGAGGATGAATTGAGAAAAGATTTAAGAAAGTATAGATGGATTAGCTAACTGTACCAACTGCAGCATTTAAAGAGCTCCCTTACTCTGGATACGACAGCTTGATTTGGGGTACATGCAATTAAGCGTGTACAAGTGAAAGTTGTTAGGTTAACAATAAATATGATAATATGAACGAATGAACAAGTGGCCGAATCTACCACAACATCTCTTCCAAAATATGCCTTTTTTTTAATGCTTCTATTTATTTCTTAACTCAGAATATAGTGTTATTAATTATATTGAAATACAAATATTAAATTATGGTTTCAAAGGATATAGTATTCTATTATCTATATACATAAAACTATGATAGTTTTTTTTTATTCTAACTCAGAATATGTAAAAAGTTAATAAAATTCACTTATTTGATCATTAATAGTACAACTTTGGTTTGAAAATTTTAGAAAGTAATATTTTCTAGATATTTGAAGAAATTATACTTTAAGGAAATGAATGTGATATTATAAAATTGCATTTGATAAATTGTTTTGATCTTGATTATTTTTATTTTGTTTTGTCAAAGTAAGAAATAAAGTTAGGCTAACTTATATTAAATTAAAAAAGGAAATTTCAACCTAATTAAACTCAAAGAATTTATATAAACCTAATCAAAAGTTAATAAGCTACTAGATATTTAAATCTAAAGTGGTCATTAAAGGAATATTCTGGACGTTATCCCTAGGTAGGGCCGTAGGGATGGACCCACGTTGGGCCAATGGGGGCTACTGACCCCACTGAACCAGCATGCCCTTTAAGGCCTTGTATTGTATATATAAAAACATGTTAAAATGCATTTATAATTTAGTATAGCTTACTTTTAAATTATTACCAGTGGGTCCTCAGAAAATTAGGAAACTTATGCTAAACTATAAAAATTTTGTTAGGAAATATATTATATATCATTTTGTTTTAATTGGCCACCTGAATTTTTTACACACCTAAATTATTATTTATTTTAGTTCCTTAGTAGATGATCATCTCTATATTTAAAGTTATTATGTAAGACATTTTATTGATAGATTTCCAAAATTATAATTTTTAAATTCTTTATTATTTTATAGTTGGGGACTCTCCTCATAGCTTTATTTTTTCTTATACAAATCTTAAGATTCACTTATTATATATTACTCTCTCCTAAAAGAGGTTTCTGACTCTTTTTTTTTATTATTTTTTTTTAACTTTGAGTATTTATTCAGTTTTATTAATTTATCAGGTATTAAAAATTTTCTTTTTTGATATGTAACCATATATTAGATTGAATTATCAAAAACTAAGTGTTGATACAAAAATTTGTACCAACTACAGTGATTCGATCGACCTTGGTGGGATCAAAACTGGTGTGTGTGTGATTATGGATATTCAGCAATGAACAAATAATGAATGTAAAGAAGAAGATGACACAGAGATTTTTAAAGTGGTTCAGCAAGATAAACTATTAAGCTTACGTCCACTGTTCTTTGTATTTGCTGTGAGAGCTTACAGTCTAAGTTCTAGCATAATTTCCTAACCCATTTTTAATCATTTTAGGGGGTTTATATACAAAGTTTGTATAAGTAGCAAGAGCGAAATTAAAGGGATTACAATTAAATTGAAATATAACTCCGATATTCTCGCGATTGGGCGTTGTGATTGCGTAAGGATTGTTGTCAATTTGATCATTCCTGTAATATCTGGGATTTGAAGTTATCTGGGAATTGATTGAATGATTATTCGGATTGTTCGCAACTAGCTTGTGTTGGGTTGAGCTATATCTCGATGAGCTTATGTTGGGCCGGACAACCAGTATAGTCAGATTGATTCTGGGTCGAGCTACTACCTCGCAACTCCCCGAGCTTGGTGGAAAAAATCACTCACAACATCTACCCCCTAGTGTTCAATGCTCGTTTTGAGCTTCAAAGACTATTGCTCAATTTGATACTAAGCTCGATGTTGTCAGTAGGCCATCAAATATAGGCTCGGTCAAGCTCCAAGGGTCGTCCTTGAGCCTGGTCGACGTACTTCTCACTTGGATCTTCATTCTTCTATGATACCTGATAAACTTAGAATATGAAAAGTTAGGGAATTATGTAAATTCCATGCGATCATGTCACATTAAATGAGACAGCCTTTGGAAGTCATGTTTCGTCACGCGTGGGCGACTACAGCTGCCTACGAGCGGAGTCGAGGCAACGTGCGACGACAGTTATGATTGTAGCAGTTTGAAGGTTCGTCGCCCCTCGCGGATGGATGACACGTGGCCACGTCCAAAGGCTAGGATTACTCGATGAATAGAAGGTCGAGATTCACTGTAGATCGATGGCTACAATCAAACCCCTCCTTTTCGTCTCCGATGCAAGCCACTATAAAAGCAAGCGAAGTTGTCAAAAACTTATCTTGCAAAAATTCTTTGACATCTTTCGCTTATTCCATTGTCGCTGCATTGTCGTGACGGTGTTCTTTTCGACAAGTTCTTCCCATTCTCTTATTCCGATAAGATTTCCTTCCTTCTCGTTAATTGCTTTCTTGATTTTCGCGGCTAAGGGTGCCATTATCGTGGCCACATTGAGCCTTTTAGGGCTTTACTAGGGTTTTCAAGCGCATCTCCGACAACCTTGGGCTTTAGGAGAGTTTATCACAGTGGGCGTCGAAACCCTGGGTAGGTCGCATGTGCTCGTTGTGTGGCACGAGCTATCTTGGGTGCCTGAACTGAAAGCAAGTGTGGATTGGTCGCCGAGTTTTTCGAGCTCTGACACATGTTTGCTTTTGTTTTAGGTACCTAGGAACGAGCTATAATTATGTCTTCTTCCAACTGTCACACGGTTGATCGCATGTTTGACTTAGTCATAGGCTCAGCAGTCCTTAGGGTTATAATTCCCGAGGTCTCCAAGGAAATCGTCACACGGAGCTCGGACCCCAACATGGCAGGCTCGTCTGATTGTGTCTCAGTGCAGCTGGCTTATCGTAAGCGGTCTCTAGTTTATAGACTACAGAGGGAACCACAATCCTCAATTAATGTCAAGGACCTGAGGCGCATAAGAAAGGTTTATGCGTCGTAACTCAATTTAATCGTTCCCGGGGATTCTTCTCAAAAGAATCCTCCACCTGGGTGAGTAACGACCTTTGAGACCCTCTTGAGATGCGGGGTATCTATTCCCCCTTATTATTTTATTAATAGCGTTCTAAGACGGTTCAACATCGTTCCTTTCCAGCTGTCCGCGAACTTATACGTCATAATCATAGGTCTGTATATAGAATATATGATTGTCGGTATGGGCGAGCCATCCGTCGAGGAGCTTGTCCATCTGTATAGACTAAAGAAAGGGAAAGACCAGATATACTACCTTTCCAAGGCGATGAAGGTGCGTTTCAACGTACTAGTCGACGTCCCGAAGAAGGTCCCACATTGGACTCACAATTTTTCTTTTATAAGGCTTGGGAGATCGGTGTTTTCGCTTCAGAAGCGAGTAAGACTTCAGACTTCTAGTGCGTGTGAAGGTCGCTTTCAAGCTTTATGTTTAAACTAACTAAGTTGCTTTCCTTTGTAGTTAACGTCAAACAAAACTATCTCCCTGCTACGAGCTTGGAGAGGCTCTAGCGATTCAGCAACCTTCCCAACGGATAGCGTAACGTCAACAAGATCATCATGCTTCCTTACTTGAGAGCATACAACTTCTATTGGGTCGATGCCAAGTTTCTCACCAAAAAGGTTAAGTTACCGTTTGCTCGCGTAGATAGGTTGCTCACTGTTTGCTTCTCTTTTTTGCAGAAATATGGACTGATAAGCCATAGCGCCTTAAGAAAAAGGCAGCAGCTTCAACGGTTGCCTAAAAGACATTGGTTGCTTTGGCGATGAAACAGCCCATTGATATTGCCAACGTAAAACGTGGCAGGGGCAAGCTTGGGGAAGGCCTAAACGCGAAGAAGCCCGCAATTTCCTCGAAGGCAGTTGGTGGGAAAAGTGCCCTTGAGCCCCAAAAGGGGCTGGCAAAGAAAACACCCGAGCTGATCGGAGGGTTGGGGAAACAAAAGGCACCTAAGTAGCATGACGGCTCGAGTAAGAAGAAATCAATTGAGCCTCTGGGGGGCTCAGGTAAGCAAAAGGTGTCCGAGCAACAGGTTGACTTGGGTAAGGAGGTTATTGTGCAGGTTGGAGGCCTAAAGAAATCAGCGGCAAAGAAGAAGTCCACAACTGCAGGCGAGGCTACTGCTATTAGGGGAAGTAAGTCTGACTCATCTTGACAGGGAAGCAAAAAGATGGACGAGGCGACCCGGGCTACGGTCGATGCTTTGATCGACCAACTTTTCGACCACATCAACATTAAGGCTGAAACGGCCAGAGATGGCGTCACCTTGCGAACATTCAAGGGTGTCAGGGATTCATCTCCCACCAAGATGTTGGCCTGGGTGTGCAACTATACGACTAAGGTACTAGTAGTCTGCCTTATTTGCATTTTATGTACACTTTCAGTATTTCTTGCTAACTTTCCTTCCTTTATTTAGGCTGCCATGGCGAGCAGACTTCTCTATGACGAGTGTTATCCTACATTGGAAGGTACCCACACAGGATGGCGGTAGGCGGAGATGGTGAAAGAGGATGATTTGGCCAGGGCTGAGTTGCGAAGAAGGCAAATGAGGTAAAGCAGACCGAGCTTAAGCGGCTCAAGGAGGAGATGGCAGCCTTCGAGGTCAAGGAAAGAGAATTCCTTGACAAGCTCTAAGCAAGCGAGGCTATGCGAGCTAAAGCTGAAGCTGAAGCTGAAGCAACCGAGGTTGTGAAGAATTTGGTACAACAGCGAGGTGCTAATAACAAGCTGAATTTTGAGCTTTCCTCGGCCCAAAAAGTTGTCTCGGATTGGGAGGCCAAGTCCAAACAGACCTCGCTCGACCTTGCTTAAGAGGTGGAAGGTCAACGGAAAGCTGAAGCTAAGGTCGGGCAACTTAGGCTTCAAGTTGAGGAGTTGAATGAGGCCATCACTACTTGGGCTTGGTAGACGTCAGTCTTCCTTGTGCAAAAGTTATGGGAAGCCTACCC